GAGCTTAGTGAATTTTGCTCTGATTGGCTAAATTTTAATTCAATCTCAATCCTAATTTATAGTCTGATACGGGCTTAACGCTTGCCGCGCGGCGGAAGTTTCGCGCGACAGCCAATCAATATGTTGTTTTTCCGTAAGAGCTAGAAGGTTATTAAAGCAGTATATTGATTGGCTATCGCGTGCACTTCCACCGCGCGGCAAGCATTACCGCATCTTGTGTGCAGAAGCCATTAGCACGACTAATCACAGTTGTTCCGCTTTTTTTCCGGCGCTTTTTCTATTTTCCTTGTGTCCCATGGAGCAGGATACGCGGAAGTGGATCACGCGGAATAATACAAAAAGTAGACTTTTTAATATTATTTCTTACGTTTTTAATAATTTTAATATTTTATACAAATGATATAATATACCCTTATAGAAATATCATACTAAGAAATACTGAAAAATTATTAGTGATTAAATATTACCAGTAATTCAATAATTTTTTGGCCAGTACTTAATTTCTGGTGAATACTGATAATAAAATCACTGTTAAATATTGATAGTAATCAAATACTGAGAATTATTATGCGAAGGTGAAAAATGAGAAAATCATAATGTTTACAAAAATATACTTATATTCCTAATTTTCTCATGTCTCATAAACTACTAAGATATCGAAGGTTGTCAACACATTTCAAACTTTCATGAAACCTACTGCGATAATTTCGATCCTAAGCGATATACCGCTGGGCACCATCCATGTCCTGACCGCATTAAACTGTTGCTTAACCTGACGATCGAGCGCGCACGCGGTGACTCTGATGACTCCAACGATGTTCTTACAATTCATGCTTATATAATGTATCCTTATAGTGTTCACAGTATATTATAACATACCTAGCAAACACCAAATAATAGTTATATAATTTTTACTTGTTGTTTATTGGATAATTTGTTGATAGATATTGAAACAATGCAACATTCGATATGCGATGAATATTGATGTAATGTAGTGAACCAGTGATAATTACTTTTACATTTTTAACAAAATGTTATAATGATTAATCCAACAAAAAAAAATTAAAAAATCCAAGAAAATCCAAATTAAACAAATCGAATTACTAAATTTTGAGAGAAACTTTAAAAAAAATATTATTTAAGACAATAGTGTTGTTTTATAAAATGACATGGTTTCCTTGAATAAATAAAAGTTTTATTTTCATCATTTTAAAAAATGATATTTCGTTTAAGAATATAATATTTTAATGAAATAAAAAAAACCACAAAATTAAACAAGTACGAATATTAAATCTAAAGAAAGTATTTTCTCCGAAAAAACGGTATAAGAAGTATAAAAAATATGCAATAAGACAAATTAATGATTGCCACTAACGAGTGCTATTCTAAGTACTATTCTATAAGTATTATTGATGTAAAACATTACTGAATTTGAAATACAAGTAACAAAAATAACTAGTAAATAAATAAAATATATTATATTCGTAATATTTTTTTAAATATTACTGCAATATTGCTAAAGTAATATTGCAAATTAATGTCACTGCAAAGTCTCTGCAACATTGCACTGCAATATGCAATTTTGCAACGTTGTAGCAATGTTGTTGCAAGCTTCTGTGCTGTATGGGTATTGCTGAGTTTCGAGCCTGAGACCTCTCCCAGGTAGCAGACACGTCAAAATGACATCCAAATCTAAGTAAGTTCAGGATAAAAAATAACCAAGGAATGATCAAAAATATCGTGAGAATATCGTCAAAATGATAGTCTAATGTCACAGATCGATGACGACATTTTAGACGACTTAATGACGTTTTATGACGTCTCTAAACGTCAATAATACGTTTTTAAGCCGTTATACAGAAACGTCATTAAGATGTCACAAAAAAGACGTTTTGAAGATGCCGTTATTTAGTCACTTAACGTCATTCGACCAGTTATGACCAGT